TTATTTTCATCCTACACAATATTATCTCGAACAAAATATTTTTACTTTAAAATACAAATATAATAAAGTTGAAAACGAAACTATAATGCGACCATAATGTGTTGGCATTTGACTTGAAATCTGTTGGCACTTCTTTGACAAATGGCGACTTTCATTAAATTATATTCTGTTACACCAAAATATCTAATTATAAATTAGTTAGCAATAAAGATTATTGATATAAATTTACGTAAAAATGCCTATTTCAATTAGTCGATTACTTCTAAGGTTAAGGTCATACAATGAGACCACGATGGCTGAAACTATATAAAAAAGTTGAATCTTTTACAACGATCAGGTTATTTTAGTAGCAACCAAGTATTACTCAAGAATTAGTAACTTTTATTTTTTAACTTACTTGGGTGCACGTACAACTGTAGAATTACGCCTTTTCAGGTGTATGAGAGCAATACGAAATATCTCAAAGAGGATTTTAAGCAATTGAGATCAGCGGAACCAAAGAGAATCAACCTGAGGAGAAGCCACAATTGACAGGGAATAGGTAGGATACTCGAATTTGCATTTCGTAATGCGTTTTTAACGCCATCTAAACAAATCTTAGTAAAAGACAGCGTTGAAAACATAATTTGTAGCGACATCTATTAAGAAGAAGAATACAACTATATTTAATTCAAGAAATAATGTTACATCTATTAGGAAGAATAATGTAGTAACATAGTTAAAATATAGAATAAAATTATAGGCAAAAATAAGATATAGGGTAGTCTTATTATTTTATGGAATCTTGCCACACGAACTGAAATATCAGTCTTGAGAAAAATCAGTAATTGTATTGTGTGCATTAGAATGATGATTTTAAGAGTTATTTCACAGACAAGGTATAAGCACAGACAAGGTATAAGCACAGACGAGATACAGAATAGAACTAACACCTAATGCATTTTTTTGTCCATCTCAGGAGGGCTGAGAGTGCCTTTACCATTTTCGTATCGCTTCCAACATTACCGATTCAGCATAGAATAAGATTACAACCTTAGTAGTGGTTGGAATTAGAAAGACTTAGAAAAGAATTAGAAGGACTTTAGGATTTATTTAGAAATGGAAGATGTACTGATCGACAAAATAAACTTGAGACTTTTCACGCCATCGCCTAATTAAATAAGCAAAAAATAGAGTCAGGCCATCCCCTCTACTCTTCGGCCTTACACGACCGCAAATTGAAAGGAAATTGCGGTGTAGGTAAATAGTTTAGACAAATGGTTTTCAATCAGCTGTCGATAATGTAGCAGGCTGATAGAAAAACAGGAAAATAAAGATTGTTTGGTCGCTTTGTTTTCTTATGTGTGTCAGCATTTAAGCAAATATTTAATAGCACGGACGTTAATTTCCAAATGACTCACATAATAAATTGTCATTGTAAAGGAAACCCAGGAAATGTATTAATATTTTTTCTGATTTAGAAAAGTGAAAAGTAAACATTTTTCTGTTAGTCCTGAATAATAAAAATAGTTTGTTGTATTTTACAAAATTGTTTGTTTAGTCCAAAAATTTCTGAATGAAATGAAAGAAAAGTATACCACCACAGATTAATAGCCACCGTTTCGGTACCTCGGAAATCGGCACGTGGCTCATTTGTTACCGGCTGCTCACGTGAGACTCGATCGTCGCCTATTGTTCATAGAAGAGTAAGTAAAATAGCCTTATTATAGAGTAAGTGCAATAGCTTTATTCTATTGCTATTGGCTGACTAATAACGAGGTGTCATAATTTCTCCTACATATTCCACTTCTAGACCCTAAGGACCGCCTGAAACCTCAAGTTTGCTTTTCCAATCTATACCTAACTCAATTTGTTATGTTCCTAACTCCACTTTCCTGCCTTATGTCGTATTTCCTTTATTTTCCCTCTATCCCCAAAACGTCCTTCAATAATCTTTTTCTTGTACTCTTTCACCTTACTTCTTACTTTCTTTTTCCTTGTAACTGCTTCTATCTTACTTTCCTACCTCCAGATATTATAACTTTTAGTCTCCCCACTATTCTCACATTGTACCTCTCACTCTCGGGTACATCTTCTATCTGGCAGAATTTCTGTCAGGAATTCTACGTATTTTTGTGCCATTAACGTTCCATTTGTAAAGGACGGTCCGATTATAACATTAAGAATATTGCACCAAACATTAAGACCCCACTCTCTTTGATGTTATATTTCACGAGGCCAACGTGGATTATCAACACATCAATAGGCAGCTTTTAAATTTACTGACCCATAATTAATAAATGTTACTTCGTCTGTGAATAAAAATAATGATTTAAAAATACCGGATCTTGAAGCAGTCTGTACTGACGAAAATTCATTCAATTTTGGAAGTCATTTTCGTGTAATTCTTGATACAAAGATGAATTAAACGGATGAAATCGATATTGATGAAGAATTCGTATCATGCTACTCTGACCGGTGCCTAAATGCTGAACGATTTTGCATGTACTAGTAGGTGGATCAAAATAAAAAGTTTATTTCACTGTTTGTTTGGTTTAGCTTACTTCTTACACGCTTTTTTTCTAAATTTTTAGTTTTTCTAAAAACATTGAAAATGCTTATAATAGTTTGAATACTAGGGTGCTTTTACTTAGGATATTTTCTATACAGCAGTTGAATCTGAACAGCATTTTGTTTACATTCGCAGTAGACGATTAAAATATCGTACTTTTAGCTAACTGAGAATGCACGAATAAATACGACCATAAATTACTGGAAACAAAGGACAATATTAGACATTCTCCAATAAAAACTTTATTGGTAAGCACGCATGTTGTATGTTAGAGGATTTATTTTTATAAGAATTACTTCGCAGAACGTCATTTTAAGGTTAGTATATTATAGATGAATGAATTTGTTTTTTTATCAGATACAATATTATAGTAATGGAAATATACAATTTCATTTAAAAAAAATTTGAATGATCTTAAAATCTCGGAAAATGTGGCCTTGAAAATAATCTTTGACATAGTATTAACCCCTCTGAAACGAATATTTTCTCTTTTACACATTTTCTTGTGTCGTTAAAAGCAATGATATATTTTAAGTTCTACTCTTACGTGACTCACCCTGCATATACATACATGTATGTATTCTTATAATTTTCAATTATTAATTATCGTATTGCTAATGAATATTCATATATTGTTATTTGTTCTTCTTTAAGTTCTGTACATTTATTGTGTATAAAAATACTTCTATATTTCTTAATGTATTTTTGTATTTATAATATTCTATTTGCAGAGTAATTTCCTTGTCTCACATATATATTTATCATTATAAAATGTCATTTTTACAAGTATTTGGTTAGATAACAAGTATTTTATATTTTATTT